ACTGAGTGTATTCAAGATAATCGTAGGGGGGAAAAGTCTGCCAGTACATGGTGGTAAAATATATTATGTACAACTTGTGCGAACAACTATTAGACTTATGTAAAACAAATACAGATTTCAAAGTATTTTATGTCGATAAAAAAATATATATTTACTAAAATTTTGTTTCAATATTAAATGTAGTGAATGCAACTAATAAAATTATAGAACTCTTAAAAAATAGAACATTGACAATACCAATATAATAAATACACGAGTCCCCTTAAAGTATGTACATTTGTTAGGAGTACGGTTCACGTATACATGTTTAAAGTAAATCCAAAACGTTTTTTTTTCTTAAAAATTAAAAATCTTTCTTTGTTGATAAAACAAATATATTTTTACAAAAACTTTGTTTATATATTAAACGCTTTAAGCTTAATGGAATGTCAACAGTTGACAATATCAATACAATAAATACATGAATCCCCCATACTTACCTTAAACAAGTATGTACATCGATTAGGAGTATTAAAATTATAGGAATTAAAACCCGACTCAGAAAACAATAACAATACAAAAATACTAAATACACTAGGCTTAACAAGTGCAAGGATAACAGTGGTAATGTCTACATAGCTTTGTATTCTGTCAGTCAGAGTAAGTTGTATAAACATATTTATTTCTTTCAGCGGGATTGATGGCAGCAGTGATGCGCTGCGAGACGACCCAGCGATACGACCCAGCGATACGAGGTGGAACTCGGCAGAAAGAGAAAACCTACAGCGGTCGTAAGCGGTATTCCAGCTGTGCGTCGGAGATTTATGCCTCCGCCGGCACCGCTGCCGCTTGCAGCAACCGCACCGTCACCGCTGCCGCTGGAGTCAGTTCCACCGCTGTCGCCGATGCTGCTATTTCCACCAGCTCCACTGTCGCCACAGCCATCAACATCTTGGCATACCCCGCCGCCACCACTTAACCACTCACGCCGCAGCCGTCACGGCATACCTCGCCGACACCGCTTCCTCAACCACTCATGCCGCAGCCGTCGCGGCAAACCTCGCCGCCACTGCCTGAGGATATGGTTGAGGAACCACTCATGCCGCAGCCGTCGCGGCAAACCCCGCCGCCACCTCAACCGTCACCAGAAATAATAAATATCTCCTCTGACGAAGATAGTCTAGACGAAGATAGTCTATTAGCTGAAGCTTCAGCTAGTAGTTCATCTGGCTATGCTTCGTTAGAGGACGATATTTTACTTGAATTATTCAATTAAAAAAAAAAACCCAACCAATAGCTGTTGTTATTTCTTATCCTGTCAATAAGTAAGTGTGTACGCCTGTGAGCAGAGTGTACAGTATCAAGTATTGTCAAAGTGTAAAAAGTTGTGAGTAGATGTAAAAAGAGAAACCAGTAACACTTACCAAGAAGGTGTGCAGCGGATGTGTGCCAAGCAAACTGTGCTTTCGTAGCTTGAACCGATAGTCTTATAAACCCGCAGTTGAGGCCCCCCCTCCCCATTCCGGGGTTGGGCGACCCACTGATCCGAATAAAATTTAGGACATGGTCGAGGACTGAAAATCTAGATCTTGGTCAGTAGGTTGAGGACAGATTGAGGTAAGTAGGTCGAGGACTGATTGTGGTCAGTAGGTCGAGGACTGATCCCGGCCAGTAGGTCGAGGACTGACTGGTTATATTGATGTCAGTAGGTCGAGGATTGAGAATCTAGAACGAGGTTAGTAAGTGAGGTAAGTATGTCATGGATGTGTAATCACAAGGTTGGTCCACCCTAACCACCGAGCATAAAAGAGCCGAGCAGTTCTGTGGATCGGCACACAACGATCCGCAGAGTGTCAAGCGACACATGGATTTTTTAGAGTGCACCATATGCCATGATGCATACTTCTTAACAGAGGAATCCTTAGCGAGGCTCCAGCAAATGTGTCTTGCTACCAAAGGGTACACGAGCCGATTCCGAAAATTATGACGACGACGCAGCCCTGGCAATCCACCTCCGGCCAAACAATCAAAAGGAGTAAGGAGTCGCAGCAGCAGCAGCAGCAGTCCACAACACAGAAGTCTACAACGCAGCAGTCCACAGCGCAGTAGCAGTCCACAACGCAGCAGTTCACAACGGAATAGCAGTCTTCAACGCAGTAGCAGTTCAAAATACAACAACAGTGCTCAACGCTCACAACATAGCAGCAGCAGCAGCAGCAGTATACCATCTCCAAAGCTGAAATGGCATCTCAAACGTGGTCTTCTAAGCTGTCGTGACTATACGATTGACAACCCGGACAACTACTACAAAGACTCAAAGGAATTCCTAGCATCGGCTCTTCCTCTGGTTGAAAAACTACTGCGTGAGGAGCTGAAGACAACGCATAGCCTAAAATTCAATTTGGTGTTGCTGTCCTACTTCAACCACGAAGTGTGGTAGATACACGAAGGCATCCTAGAGGAATTCAACTTTAAAACCACAACTAGGGCTATCTACGGGGGCTCTGACGATCTCGAGGACATGCTGGCGCAGGATGGTGCGAAGCTGCTTGCGGAACAGTCCGAGTTTGAGGGCAAAGGTAGCGGCTGGAGTCTGGATCATCCGTCTAGCTTAACTATAAGAGTAAGTAGATTTACATTTAAGAAACCCACAGGGAAATCATATATTAACCTACCAAAAAGAATCAGCCAACGTAAAGCAACCACAAATATCCAAAATAGGGATGAAAAATGTTTTATGTAGTGTTCTTGTAAAACACCTACCCGATGCAAACGTTAACTCTGTTTTAAATTAGAGTCACTTTAAACAAAGACCACTATGATTTTAAATATCTTAAATTTCCAGTGTCAGTATCGTCCATTCACATATTCCAAAGGAACAACCCGAACACATCAGTGAACGTATCGAAACAGCTCCGGGTTGTGACATAGCCCCTTTTACGTGTCTTTGATGAAAAATACGATCATGTTGATTTATTGTTATACCGGGCTGATGCTAACACCTCACATTACGTGTACATTACAGACTTTGCAAAGTTGATCCATATCATGCAGGTGGCAGCTGGCAACAAACAAATAGACATACCTATGTAAAAGGTGCTCGATACACTGAGAAGTTAGAAAGTGTAAAATGGGTCCCAAAATATGACTTGAAGAACATTTGCGTATTTGTAAAAAATTCAAACTCGCTACCAAACGTCTTCCGAAAGAAGGGGAAAACCTATTGAAATTTGAGGAATTCAAATATCAAATTCCGGTCCCAATTATTGTTGTAGCTGACTTTGAAGCTACGCTAGTGCCGGTCTTGGAGTCTTATTGTTCGTACCAGTGTCACGAACTCAACTCTTACTGTACGCTAGTGAAAACCACTCTACCTGTTGAGATGCTGCAAGAAGTAGGTATTAGCACGGAAGCGGAACCACACCGTTCTCCCAATGCTGCACAATCTTTCATGATCCATATGCAACAGCTTGCTGCTCGTGTCGAACAACTGTACACGCGACAAGAACCGTTAAAAACACTAACAGCGGAAGAAAACAATCAATTTGAAACAACTGCCGAATGTAAATTATGCAAGAGACCTTTAACGACAGCCCTTGTAAAGTAATTGATCACTGTCACATGACCGGAAACATATGACACATTCTCTGTAGCAAATGCAACTTACGATGTTCCACTGTTAACTTTATATACTGGTATATTGGCACAGTATGTCTAACTATGATGGACATTTCATAGTAAAAAGTCTTTCTACAGTTCCGGATTGTGAAGTTAAAGTAATTCCATGCACTAACGACAAATGCATTGCCATATCGGTACGAGTAGGCAGGATTTGGATCCGTTATTTAGATTCCTAGACTCACGTCGTCAAGCTTGGCCAAACTGGCAAACATCTTGTCTGAAAGCGAAATCATCGAGTCATCAAAATTGGTCCCGCCGCATAGGTATTTACTCATATGATTTTGTAACCACCACAGCGGTCTTTGACCAAACTGAGTTACTGTCACGGGACGCATTTTTTGACAGATTGAACAATGAACCGTGTTCAGAAGAAGATTACGAGTTTGCACGGTCTGTGTGGCAAAAATTAAAGATGAAACCATTTGGTGAACACCACAATTTTTTCTTAAAACTTAGATTTGTGTCTACTTGCCGACATTCTAACATCCTTAAGTCTCTCGAAACATCACGTTTTCAAAGCTAAGGAGACCCCTATACACGATCATGGCGAGTACAACCACATATCAGCAGCAACGACCCAGATAAGGTCGTCTTGGCAGCGCCCAAACACCTCAACACCAATATGTACTAGTCTCTATATATCGCGGTTTAACACGTTGACTGCGCGTGCCGACTATACAGGCGCTCCCCAGTGGCGCGCGAAGCCCCGGCGCGCAACCGAATCAGCGAACGCAATTGGCATTCAAATATTTCAGTCTGACGAATCACAAAAGAGTATTGGTGACTGTGCTGCGTTACCCCGCAAGTGGATGTAGTTCACTGAAACACCCAAAGGTAGCAGCACTGCACGGATCCGTATCCAGTGCCTTTGTAATGTGGGTTGAAAAGAATAAAATCCCTGAAACCGGGACAAAAGCATTGCCAGACAGGATTTTACGGGAAATTTTAGTACCAACCTACACCAAAGTAAAGCTCGCATTCTAAGCTGGCAGGCTGGCAACGATTATAACGTCTCCGTCTGAGGCTAAGCTCACACTGACTCAATATATTTCTGTTGGTCTGGTGCCGACTCTTGTCGGCGCGCGCCACCTGGGAGCACTGGCGACGCCGAATAAAGTCGGCATGTGCAGTCAACGTGTTAAAAGCTGAGGAGTATATATCTACTGGTCTGCCTGCATGTAATTATTTTTTACAACACTTAAACGAGTCAGTATTTATTTTTCCCATAGTTTTGATGGATTGAAATGAAATGAAATGAAATCAACTTTATTCATAATTTGCAAACATGTGCACGAATGGCGTCATTACATTGATTGATTGATGGATAATTATTCTTTCAGGGTGTTATTGAATGAGATCAAAGATCACTACAAGGATCCGGCAACCAAACCTTATCCTCGTGAAGACAGCCAACTGCTTTTGGAAGTAAATATCACAATATCACTACATTTCCAGTACCGGTATTAGATTCTCAAAATATTATTACCATCTCATAGGCCTACTGGTAGTTTCAGCAGTAAAAGCTCCTCGGTGATTTTCTTAATTTGTGCTTTTGCAAAATTTTACAAAATTGATTTGTAATTTAGTTATTACATTGTCATTTGTCGAAATCAAATCTTTTCTGAAATTCATGATTATGTCTAAAAATTATACTAACAAAACTAACAATCTCTTTCCTGAATTATATTCTACAGATGACTTCCATACTTTCAGATCTCCACTTACCTAGACTGGACTGGAATTGGTAATCCATTTGCTAAGATCTACATCACAACCAAGAACCTCCAGTTTTTCTCATTGTTTACCTTCTTGTTTGTGATTGCTCAACTTAGTCGGCTTCAGTATTCCAAGACATTAGGTAAGATTATGATTTTTGATTTTAAATAAGCTACAGTAGACTCCCTCTTATCCGGACACCTTTTAACCGGACATCGGTTTAACCGGACTACACTCGGCAGAAATTACATCTCTTTAACCGGACAATTTTTATCAGCACATTGGTTTAACCGGACTAGATCGGCAGGAAGTGGGCTGTACTGAAACGATTGTTCTCGTGGGAAAGATTTGAGACCAGTGATTACGTGTCTAAATACAATGCTCTCCTAAATTTAAGTGAAATATTTGGGTTACATAACGAGTTTATGGGGTTGTCGGTTTAACCGGAAAACCTGTTATCCGGACTGGATAAGAGGGAGTCTACTGTTATGATGCAGTATGTCTGGCTTAGTCAAACCAAATCTTGACTGATAAAAAAATAAATTTACATTCTCATTCTGTCAACCTTGACATTTCAAAGTCGCTCCATGTGAACTAACGCAAAAGCACTAGCTCTTTAGGCCTGGAGTGTAGTGTTGCCATGTTTCTCTCTCCACTGCTCAGTAAGAGCGATTCTGTCTCAAAATATACCAATAGTTTTATGGAAAATATTTAATGACTTTTAAAAGCCCCAAAACTTTGTAAACATTGACAACTTTGTTATCAGGTACTCTTATATGGAAGAAGGCGGGTGAACCGTTGGATGGAATGCCTTTCATCGTTGGACTACAAACACTGTTCCGCCAGTTCCATCCAGAGATCAGGGATCAGTTTCTGGTGTATATGGCGCAGTATGTCAAATCCCACATTGAAGCGACTGTCACGTGAGTAACTTTTTTCAATAATCACTCACAGGCAAAATCCGATTTGATAATTGTGCTTGTAATTTAAATTAGTTATCAGCTGTTTGCTATTGTGAAGATTTTATTTGTTTATCTTTGTTTATGAATTTGTTTATTTACCAAATCTTAAAACAAAATTACACAAGATAAAGTTAAGTTAGCGTTACCTAATGTTAGTTAAGTAACCAGTGGGTTGGTTAAGTTATCGTGATATGTCATTCCCTGGAAGAAATTCTTAGTACTTGGAAAAGTACTGGACGTTCAAATGTTTGTACCAACCATTCATTACCAATAAGACTGGGCTATTTGCGGCATGGTCTGATGATGGCAGCTAGTGGCCCCTATTTAAAAAAATGTACTACTAGAACTTAGATAGTAATGTCACTGGTACTGAAAACTGATTTTGTTAAGAGAGTGGTATCAACTTCCAAAAAGAAGAACTGTCACACCACTACTTAGTTATTGAAGGCGAGAAGACTAAAAGTTCTTTTTCAGCTGTTATGCGTAATGTACAGAAGTCATTCATTTATAATTTCTCATATTCTCTGTCTAATTTACAGAGGTTCCAGCAAGTCAGAGTTTCCACCTGAAGTAGTGTCCAGTCTACACTTCCTGGTGTTGTTCTCAGACATTGCAGGACTGCCTCTGTCTGCTGTCACTCAACACATTCCAGAGACCATCTTCAACTTGTTCCATCACTTTGACCCCAGTACATAGAGGGCACATGCCAACAGTATGTCTAGTATACTCAAGAGATAGGTTCGGGATGGGAATCATTTTTGGGTCAATCTCGGGTTATCTACATTGTGAGTGTTTGAGCGTTTGCTGCAGAAAGTCTATATGAAGATAGTGCTATTGAAAATTGAGATGTTCCTGATTGCTGAAGAACTTCACAATATCATTATTTACAGGAAACATTCACAATTTTCCCTCGACCACGGGAGTTGTTGGTAAAGCAAGATTTTTATTTTATAAACTGAATTTAGTTATAAAAAAACCATTAACTAAAACAATACCTTCCAAAGCAACCCCATTTTTCCCAAGACCCAAAGGTAAATATTTTTGACCACACCCAACCCAAAGTAAAAATGTCTCATCCGCAGACCCCTGGTAAATGTCATGCATTCAACCGAATAACTCTCTCCTACTAACCAGAGTAATAAAATAAAAACAGCTTAACAGCGGTTGCGTAAAGATAGTGTTAACGACACGAGTCAACAATTTAAGGTACGAGCTTTGGTGAGTGCCTTCAAAACTTCTACGAGTGTTGTTAACACTATTTATGTGAGTTGCGTACACTACTTTACCTATGACAGTGTTTTAATTACAAAAAATCACTACTCATATCATCTAAGAGAGGTTATGTTTTTGTTTATAACCTCTTATTGCCACTGACAGTGATGCAACGAATCATTGTACCAAACACTAATTGCACCACTCAACAATTAAATTGGCCTGAACAGCTGTTTATGAAGTTCGAATCATTACAATTTTACTTCTACTCTTTCAATCCTTGAACCTCATTGGTCCGTTACCCGTGTTTTTATGTAAAACTATGCAGTTATGAAAGTAAACAATTCTGTTATGAGAAACTTTTCAATTCTAAGAACTGAACTGAAATGGATACAGGAGAACTCCAATTATCTGAACTCCAATTAACCGAATCTCCGATTATCCGAATCGCTATTTCAACAATTTTAAAAACGTAAAGCTACAGTAATAATAAGTTTCGCAAAATATCAAAGAATTGTTACTAAACAAATTTAGCCAGTGTGTAATTTTTGACTTTGATGGAACACTATAAACTTAAGAACATGTATAGAACACTTGTGCTATGAGCATTGTAAACTGTAAAAATGTTCTGATTTCATTTATTATTAATTTAGTTCATTTATTACCGAAAATGAGAATTTTTCTTGGAAATTCCCGGAATTCCTGTTAAACTCCGATTATCCGAATGTTCGATTATCCGAATGGGGGGGTCTGGTCCCAATTGATTCGGATAATCGGAGTTCTACTGTACTTTAAACAACGGTCGTAGGTAAAATAAATAACAGATGTATCTAAATGTCTTGATAGGTTTTGACTATCCCTTACATGTTATAAAGACCATATGTTTCCGTGTTATCATAGAATTATAAAAGTTGTAGGACGATAAGAACATTTTAGAACTGCGAGTTGGTGCCTTTAAACTAAGATTCTCAGTATGTATCTGTTATCCATGAGAAAGCATTGAAACTGGGTTTCAAATTCTATTGCCGAGTTTCTGAAACACCTTTTTATCTAGAATTTGGCTTCAGCTTGGTTTAATAAACAGTTGGATGTCATAAAAAAATGTGTTTAATTAAGTATTTACATTATATTATAGACTTATATAATATAATATAGTATGTATTGAAAAATGTATATCTATATAATGACTGAAAAAATGAAACAGTTTTGACTAGCTTTAATTTTGTTAATTTTGTACATTTATAATGTTATATAATATGAATACTGTAAAACAACTGTTATACTTTTATAGACCAGGTCCATAATTATGAAACCCATATCTATAAAGTGCAAGAAGCATTTCATGTAACAATTGGGGAAACTACATTTTTAGGGTAATTCGACCCTGCTGAGTACGAATTTGCCTGTTGCCAAAGCGAAATTTGAACTGGAAGTGCGGTATCCAAAATGGTGGCCAAACCCTGTTTACCCCATATCCATGTTGTTAGTTTGCCTAAAATACTGGTTTAAACATCTGCATAGGGGTTTTATCAGATGCCAAACATATTGCAACACTCAAAATTTATTTACATTACCTTTTGGAGGCATATGATCCAAGATGGCACACAATATGGCCACCAAAAACCTTGTTTCCTTATATCTCCCTTGTTTGTTTGTTTGAAATTATTATTTAAACGTCTACAAAAGTATTTTATCCGATGCCAAACAGATTGCAACACTCATTATTCACTTCCTACGATTTTGGAGGACATAGGTTCCAACATTGCCGCCAAAACTTCCGTCCTCGGAAGAGAACAAGGAATATGAGAAAAAGACCAGTTCAGATATAAAATACTGTTAATTGCAATATTTCAAAGAAGATATGAACAAAATTTACAACCATATAAAATGTTCAAACATTGTCAAGAACGGTGGTACAGTTTGGTGCAAGTCAGTCCATTCTTCTTGCACGTGCACATTGTAGATAGACACTTGGATAAACAATTACAGGCTAGGATATATGCGGAGGCTTTTGGGACGGGCTCAATGCTCAAAAGGATGGGAAGTGCTGGTTTTGGTGAAGCCCCCAGCTATATGACTCGGAATCCATCATCACCGGTCGGTCAATATGAGAAGTTTCCAACACGTTCAAATGGAAAGTTTTTAAAATTGTCAGTACAAAAAAATCTATTGGTTTGTAAAACCATTGAGTACCGTATGCCCTCACTTACAATCGTGTCTTTACCTAATGACATCTTAGGAGTTGTAGTCGTCACAATACATAGCTTGTTGGAGATAATAGTCGGCTTCCAGTTTTTTTTCATACCACCAAAAAGAAGTTTTGTTCCAAGCGCCCCAAAGTTATGATGGGGATTTTTTTTAGAGGGGTCTCAGGTCTCACTGCTAAAAGTTTGGGAAAATTTTTTGCACTGAGGAAAACAAGGCTGGCCTTGCCCGCTTCGTCTTTCAAAATTAATAGGCCTTTATCAGGTATTGATTGTTCAAAAGATCAGTTAGACTACAACATTTGAATTAACTGCACTTGAAATTTTCGATAATTCAGGACCACATTGATGAAGATGATATTGAAGATGTACTCGCTTACAGACAGGAATTAAAAAAAAATCATAAAAGACCATTTTTATTCCAAATCTAAACAAAAACAAACAACTATAAACTAAGAACTGTATTTTAACATGTGATTTCATGCATTAAGCAATATTAACTAGGAGTACGGTGCGCTCCGAAGTCACATATGAGAATGAACGAAGACCATTTCATACATACCAATACGTTATTTAACAGTAGGCCTACCCACATTCATATCATTTTGTATCAGCTGCTCAAGCAGTTTTTAACTTCATTAAGGCACTAAGTTACACCAAATTCATAATATTTTTTTCACCGAAGCACTTTCTTTACTGCACTTTGGGATTGGGCTTGCGTCATTAAAGCAGCACCAGGAAAATGCTTAGGGCCCTTTCACACGAGGCCACTGGTGGCCGCCACCGGTGGCCTCCACTGGTTGCCCGCCACAGCTTTAACATTATTTTAAATGGGACCTTTCACACGAAGCCACTGTAGTTGCCCTCCACTACAGAGTGGCCGAGCAGTGTCTCCTCGCGCAACTGCTAGTCGGCCACCGCCGGCAACTGCAGTGGCGGCAACTCGTCGCGGGGCATTGAATTAAATGGGAGCTTTCACACGAAGCAACCAGTGGCCGCCACCGTGGATGAGCACGCAACTACTATTTTGAATCAGTTCACGTGCAGACTGCAAAGACAAACGCACTATGGTAGTTGTTGATTGTTTTCGTGTTGAATTGTTTGTTTTTTTGAAAATGAGTAATCAGAAGAAAACTATAGAGGACGTTGCTGAAAAAGAAAAGACTAAGGAAAACAACAGAATAAGAGAATAAACGAAATAATATAAGACAAAGTGGATACTGACGATCTAATTTGCGAAATTGAAAATTAACCGGCAATTTGGTATAGTACACCTGTGTCTTTGCCTTATTTTCTTTATTATAAACGCGAGAAGAAGGAGATGTTCATTGTTCAACAGCATTTTCACAACTACCATTGTACAGTGGCTGTAGTAGAGTGGCTTGTAAGTTGCCTGTACCATCCACTGCAGTTTCCCGGCCGGTAACTGGTGGTGGACACCGGTGGCCGCCACCAGTGGCCTCGTGTGAAAGGGCCCTTAGCTTTTTTGAAAATAACTTAAACGGTAAGGAAATCAACCAAAGTGTAGATGATATTCTGAAAGAGAATAAAATTTCCAACAAATTGATACCAATATCCAAGAAAAGGCAGCCAAAAGGTGCCTTTAAAAAAGAAAATGTGAAGTTTTCAAAGTATTTCTTAAGGAAAATATGTTTTTTTTTTATTTTCAACATAAATCGTAGATTTTCAGAACTGATGTAAATATAAGGAGATTGTGTTAAATATATGGATAGGTCGATATTTTACAAGTTCTCTACCTACAGATTATGACACCGTTATTTACCTATACCCGCGTGAGGCGTACATATATTGTTAATAGTTTAACAAGAGATGGGACCATCTCTGTCTCTTTCTAAAAACATTTACAGCTTCTACTCAGCTCGTTGTGCTAACCCTACAATCTGTTAACCAACATATGCGTTCTGTCTGTTTCTTATCTACACCTCTGATAATTTCCTCCAAACAATAACACTGGGTTCTACGTCAACTGTGCCCAAGGCTATGGTGTATAAAATAAGAGCATGATCGTTGTGCTTTCGAATTTTAAAAATGTCAGACTTTTTATAACTGAACTAAATTCAAAGAGAAAATAATAGAAAAAATAGGGTTTTAGATGTTATTACATCTATGTTCAAAATGTTGACTTCTGAGCTCTAGAACAAAAACCAAGTTCAAGTTTACACCCAGGAAACATCTTTAATCCAAGACTAAAATGTCTCAAATTAGGAAATGTATCGGTGTTAAAACACCATCCTCAGGTTTAGGTGTTAGTGTCATATGTTTGTTGTTCTTTTAT